CAGCCTCCTACCCACAACACTCCCTTCCTCTACTCTCACTACACTAGAGCTAGTTAATTGTGCCATTGATTCTAGCAGTGTTCGTACTGTTAGTAATGCAGTGCTAATGTCTCGTCATCTAGAAGCTCTTAATTTGAGGGATAATTTTATTGATGATGAAGGAAGTGCTCATTTGTATTCTATGCTCAGGCAGCTTTTTGGGTCATCTGAAGAACCTGGTACTGACCCCAACAGCAGTTGCAGTTTTAATTTCCTTGACATTGGGCATAATCCATTTACGGGACATGGAATATCAAGTTTTATCGATGAACTAGCTCACTTCAAGAGTGATAGCACTAACTTCATTCTCTCCTTATCACTTGGTTGGAAGGATCAAGTTTGTGAACATGTTTCTTTTACAAAAGTTGAGCAGCTTTTAAAATTTGAAACTAATGAGGACGATTGAGCCTGCCATGCCTAAATTTTTGATTGCAATTTTAAGTTTTTACTAGAGTAGATAGATATATATATATATATAAAATTTAATTATAGCTAAATTTTTAATTGCATACATATGAACTAGTGTTATTTATGTTGTTTTGTTTATGCTTCATAATTATTATGCTGCCAATTCACTTGCTGTTGCCTACCTACACACACTTGCTTGTCGTAGAAACGGTAGAATATCAGATGATCATGTAGATCTAATAGTGTATTATTGAGATCAGTAGCTACTTCGCACTTGCTCACATAATAATCCTAGATCTAATGTTTAGATCTAATTTCTTTGTTGGGTTTTACAATTAGTTGGCTTGTGTTGTTGTATTCAGCGGACCCTATAAAGAAGCCCCAAGCCTCTCTTTCACTTTCTGTCCTCCCTTATTGGTTAGTCTACGACAAGATGGAAGCTTGGAAAATGGAAGATTCTCAAAACTACTGCTTCTTCATCGGACGCCATGATATCAGAATGGGTGTGCCTGAAGGAGGGATTAAAATAATAAATAAAAATTCTGATTGCTACAAATTGGCAAATTGCCAGGAGACAATGGCATCAAATCAAGAGACAAGTGGAAGCTCTTTAGGGGATCCTGTAAGAAATATTCTCAAAGAATTCTCACTGAATGAACTTGATCTTGATCAACCTACTGACGATGCTGTTTTTGTGAGTCTTGGACTTAATTTTGACTATTCCTTGGGTATCCATCTTGGCCTGTCTGAGTCAGATATTACAGCCATCAAAAGAGACAATGACTCAGACCAAGATAGAGTCGTTGCTTTGTTCTGGAAATGGCGAGAAATAAAAGGATCAGGTGCAACATACCTCTTATTATTGAAAGTTCTTATTGAAAACAAAAACCAAGAAGCTGCTGAGAAGTTGTGTCAGTACTATAAGGACAAGCACCAGAAATCATCAAGCACTGAATCAAGTCAGTAAATTATACAATACATAACATATAGCGGGTAATTTTTGTCAGAGAAAACAACCGTCAATTTTGTCATTAGGGAAAAAAATTACTGCTGCATATTTTGTTCTTTAAGAATTAGAGCAGTGGAGGCGTAATAATTGTGACAAAATTTTTTGCCAAATTTTAATTTTAGATAAAATGGTAAAAATATTACCCAACGAAATTACTTGCTATAAAAAATATGGTATCAAAAATTATGTGCATAAAATAGGTAACTGGTAGCTTTGTTGCCAGCACATAGAATGGCAGTCTGTAATGAAGCTGAATGTTGTGTATTGGCAATGAATATCATTAATGAACTATAATGTTATTGTTATTTTGGATGCCTTATAAGGAATAAGGAATACCTACATGTTACAAATAGATCCCATACATGTTAATTATTATAATTAATAATAATAATGATTTTAGTAATAACAAGAGTAGATAACATTATCTACTCTTGGTAATAATGACTGCTATAATAAGCGTTGATTTTTTACACACAGGTCCATCCAAGTTTGAAACACAATCATCTCTTCCTTCATTGCCTCCTAAAACCAGACAACCCAATTACAGCCGTTCTATAAGTTATCCTGTTGATAATCAGAAGAAGGTGATGTGGTGTGAGAAAATCCCTGGGAATAAAGCATGGAAGATCTTTGACCGACATCACGATAGAATTGTCAATATTCTTCGAAGCGATGCCATTCTTTGTGACAGCATGCTTAAGATCCTAGCAGACATGTTTTTAATTGGAATAGCCGAGAGAGGTTTTATTCAGCAGCTGACAAGCTTGGATATTAAAAGTAAAGCTATCATGAGACGCGTATCTACCTTCATCAGTAAAGCTAGAAATCCTGTACGTGCTTTTGTAAAATTTTCGGCCATCATTGAAGAATTTGATTATTTTAAAGCTATTTATAAAGAAATAAAGACTGAAGGTAATACTAAACATTTATGATGTTAGTTATTTATTAATGAATCTCATTTTTAGCTTCTACTGTTGGAATTATTATTAAAACTTCTGTTGAGTTAGCAAAAGCAAAAAGGTCTCCATCCCTCGCTAGCAAAGAAGCATCTGCTGATTTTTCAGGTAATTAATTTTTTATTTTTATTTCTTTTTATTTTATTTTTATATTTTTATTTATTTGTTTTTTTAATTTTTAAATTTTGATTTTTCTATTTTATTTATTTTTGAAAATTTATTTGTTTATTAATTTTTTTATTTTATTTTATTTTTTTGTCATTATATGCTACTTTTTGTATTAATGAGAAACAGAAGACATTTAGATTATTAATTAATTTTGCAAATGCATGATGCTAGCTGTCCTAGTTTTTATCAATTTTCAATTGGTATCAATATATTTTTAGATCTGATTATTATTTTTAGATACAGATAATGCTGGTTATGATGAATCTCTGTTAACTCCATCTATTAAGAAGTATTCACGTCATTTGAAGAGCTGCTATAAAAAAGAAAAGCCTGATCAGAAGTGGTCTCTAGAAAACGTTCCGTCTAAACTTTACATCAATCTGGCCGTTGTTTGTAAAAATGAAGATTATCGCGATCCTTTCTCTAATTCCACAATACATGGAACCAATGAAGATATTTTTAGTCACAAAGAATCTCTCTCACTTGAAGAGCTGTGCAGGATTGAGTATGGAGAAGCTGTCTTGATTGAGGGTGCCCCAGGGATAGGAAAGTCAATGCTTGCGTTTGAGATATGCAGTCGTTGGGTCAAGGGAGAAGCTTTGAAAAAATATCCTCTTTTATTATTACTTCGTCTGAGAGATAAGTTTA